CTATCTGTTCTATTTAACAATGAAACTATATTTATTTAAACAGCTTATATTTAGACATAATTTGTCAATCTTTAATTTCAATTTCGCTCTCATTTTAATATTTCATACAACCTCTCCCTTCTCAACAGTTGTATTGCCTTCGACTTTCCTCATCCTAATTCCTAGCTCCTGCATTTCCACCTATGTACATATGTATACTACAAGTATTATTGACTTAAGTATGCCTAAGTTCTAAACTGATCGCGATCTTATGACTATGCTAGCTGTTAAAAGCATTTATGCACGAATACAACATTAAGCTATAATTAAGCTATCACAACAGTCACTACTGCAGCACAATCTGAAGAATGTCTGTATAGCTCTTTGGGAAAGCTCAATCCTAATCACTCACGAACCGTCTGTATAGTATATGTTCCTGTTTAACAATCCCCCACTTATCGACTATGAATATCGCTATATAGCTTGCAAAGAAAAAGCTTTCCTTCACCCAGTCAAACAATTTAAAATATATTATTTTTGGAAATTGTAGATTTTGATGCAAATTAAACTTAAATGTTTGATTGAAAATGCAAGAAAATTATCCTACACCGTTTGCTTTTTCCTGCTGGTCTACTCGTATTCTAGAAGCTTGGCACCACTGTGCACGGCTGCGACTTGATCCGCAGACAATTAACCCAAATTGCTAGTGCGGCACGTGGGCCTCGAATTGGGGCCCCAGTCTGGGCCTCAAGTTTTCTTTGTCGCAGTCGTATTCTTGCGAAAAGTGGCAACCAACAGGCGGCAGATCGTTCGTTGCAACAAATTTCAAATTTCGTCATGCGGCAGCAGCTGGCGACCATTTCGACCATTTGAAACATTTTCTGACTTCTACTTGCCTACAATGCATTGGCAATTTGTAAGACCTTTTGGGTTAGGCAAACAAATTAGACTTGGGCAGCTTTAGACTAGAAGGCAGCATTGCGAACAAACTGGAGGTAAAAAGTTAATTTCACGCCGCAATTTGTGGCGCTGGACAATAGATGCAGATAGCTCCTAATTTCGATTCAATAAACGTGCCTGACCGCAGGTTTGATCACTTTGGGCATACAAATTAGGAGCTTAGATCAGGTGTACGGTTTACAATTTAAAATTACAGAAGAAGATTAAAACAAAATATCAACAAGAAAGCATCTTCGATTTCTTTCTGATCAATTCCCTTAGCCCTCGTTTAGTTAATTACTATTAAAACATTTAAATGCTCTACTAGAAAGAGGTCTGACGGAAAGAAAATATTGATGCAGTGCTCGCAAATGCACTGCTGCTGTTAAACTGCACCTTACCCCTTCTATGTTTCGTTATCCGGTGTTACCCAGGCCTACTTATCTTTTAATTCTATCGTGTGTTTACTCCTCATATCTAGAGTAATCCCCTGAAAATGTGTACGTAATTGTTTGTCAATTGTCTGGATTTCCTGCTTCCAATCTCTCCCAATTCTCCACCTAATAGAAATCACAACACTTCTTCGCTCACCTTAATTATTCGAATCCCTCTACATGTCGGACTTATTTCCGAGCTCTATCTAATAAGTACTAGCTTTCGCCCAAAAACATGTTGAATTGTTCTGAATTAGGTCCATTTTGTACTTTATATTTTCAAGTAGTTTCCGTACTTGAGTTTTCTTAAATCTACTACGAATGAATTTTGAATGTGAAAAGTGAACGAATTCGAGAGAAAATCCCAAGTGGGTAGTGGCAGATGTGCAAGGCTATTGAAAGGTGTGGTCAAGTAATTAGTTAATAATTATTGGTAGTAAATTTACCGATTGTACCACAAATATCGATATTGGAAAATGCCAAAATTTATAATAGAAACAAGTTTGGAAATGGCTTTCTAATAAATGCATATACGAAGTAGTAGCAACGGAAAAATATATTTTAAAAATTCAAGAAAGAACCCTTTGGCGTAAATAGAACACCCGTCGCTCCTGTTGTATTTAACTTTCATTACAGTTCGTACTTGTTTCTATAACAATCCTTTTTTCCTAGTGTATATCCATCGAAGTCTTTAAGAACACGGTGCTACTGGATTAGTGGGTCGGTACGTCCCACCAAATGAATATGATGTATTAATTAACAAGGCACAATTAATTTTATTGTACAATCACTCATGTCTTTTTGACTTTAAATATAAATATAAATTTATCGTTATCATTTGATTTCTCAATTTATTCATTATTATGGCACAAGTATGCTGAAAAAATTCAAAAGCATCTACATATGTGTGACCAATATGCGAATATCAACTTTATAATAAATGATGAATAAATTATGGCTTTTTGCAGAAGCAAGCATTGTCTGATTGCCTGTGCTTCCATGCTAGAACACATAAAATTAAATAAATCAATCCCGTCCACCCACTCGCTTTTAGGTTCATAATGACCCTCCATATACGAGTAGGTACGACTGCAACCCACAATCCATCGATCGGCCCAATTCATTCAATATGCAAAGTGCTGCGCTCATTCCGACAACCAAAATTTTGTCGGGCGTGCGCTATTCAGTGAGCATTGGGCATGCAGATCATGTCGCGGGCACGCGTTTCTGGCACTTGAGGAGGGAGAGGTGTGTGGAGCTGGAGGTGGAGGGAAATCGTAAAACAGCAGTGCGAAAATGCTTGGCATTGCTTTTTATGATAAGCGCTGCAAAATGACTGCATAACTGTTTTGTTTTATTTTGTGTTTTCGTATTAACTGATCAGGTGGAGGGGGGTGTAACGCATTTGCACATGCGCCGCTGCATTGATCATAAATTTATCTGTCAGACACACGTGCGCGTCTAGATATGAGAACAGCTGTTGCAGTTGTGCGTTCGTGCCCTCCGCTTACATTTTGTAATTGATTTGACTCCGCTTGCCCCACACACACAATGGGCCGCCGCTGGCCTTGCCCCTTGGGCTGAACCTAAGAATATTCCGGTCAAAACGTGCCTACGCCGCATACCCGTCTTATCTGCCCGTCGTGTGGTTGGCTGGTGTTCGCTTGTTATCAGCACTGGCGGTATTCCCAGACCCGACCGATTTTGATATATAGTATGTACATGTGTGGTTTTTGATTTTGACTTCGCGGTCTTTGTCGAGCAACAAGAACAACAGCGAAAATAAAAGCACAACATTTGTTCTGTTTGCTCATTGCCGCATATCTATGTATGTTCTTCATACATATGTATGTATGTCTACGTGCTGGCATATTTGTGGAAACGACTAACGACGCATGATAAGCCGTATCTGGTCACAAAGTTCCCTTTATCAGTGGCAACAATAGCGGCCACAATGGGCAGCATATCAGCATGAAAACAAAAGCAATTTCAAAACCACAACGAAAACCGAAGCAATAGAACATCAACATTCGGCATTGCGGTCGGAACAACTCCAACTGGTTCGGGTGACAATGCTATTCTCCTTATCTCTGCACTTGAAAACTGATTGTGAAATGAGTTTGGGCAAAGAAAATTGGTTTGGTGTGACCTTAACCTGTCGCTTATCTGTAATACGTAAGCTTCTTAAACAAACTAGCTTGGGACACGAGCTCATTTAAGCCACAGTAGCCTCAACTTGGAATATTATTTGCATGCAGGGAAATGTGCAACCAAAAGTTGAATTGTCGCAAAGCACGTTTGAGCTCAAACCTGCGTCAATAATTTTCATAAACTTAGTCTAGTTGTTTAATAACAATTATAATATTCCTGATAGTTGCTTAGCCTGCTTCTAGCTATAAGTTAGAAACCAAACCCCTCAACTGGAACTGTAAAATTATGTAGTGCCTTGAAAGAAATATTATTAACATAGCTTACATAGACATTCTGTAACTTTTTTTGTTGAAAATATTGTAAAATAATAATCAGGACACAATACATCGAAAAATAATACGGGTACTGTCTTCGACTAGTATTCTTCTCCACCGCTTAGCAATTTACATAGATGTGGGCTCAGTATTTGTCATCATACATTAAAATCAAATGATTATTCAGTAAGTCCGTCTGCTCTATCCCAAGCATCACTTAAACGGGTTTGCCACCACATAAAAGCCTAAAAATCACCGGAACGAGCAGAAGATCCGAGCATGATGGGCTCATCAGCTTGGGTGAGGCGAGGGTGCGGTGGCATCGTTGCCGTCATCTTCTTTGTTTGTTTCGTCATCGGGCGGTGTGCGTCATAAATAACGCAAATATTTCTCTTAAGTCAAAGTTAATTGCTCTTAAATCAAAGTAAACAATGCGATCGGTAATTCGCGAGCGAGTAGCAACGGCAACAACAACAACACTCCTAACAACAAAGGCTTCCACAGGTATACCCGTACTACGATCGTTGGCTAAGCCCAAGCGACAGGTAAAACAAACATTATATAAATCGGGTTTGTGGCTGCAACTACCTGAGTCGCAGAAAAAACAGCCGCAAAAACAACAGCTACAATGCCGGCACTGCAGGTACCGAAGACGCTCAAAGATACATTTGTAGCGCAGACTTACGTAAACAACACAGTTGAGTGAGATTGCAAATTCGAGTAGAGCTGCATTGAGTGGAAGAGGGCCGCACATATGGAGAGAGAGAGAGAAAGAAAGAGAAGGAGAGAGAGAGCGAGCACCGCTCTCTCACTGCGAATGCGTATGAGTGCGGCAAAATTCATCCATGAGATACATAAACAAACAGCAACGTAACAAGTCCGCTGGGCAAAGCATGCGAAGAGCAGCACAAAGCGTAAAAACAAAAACAAACGCTCGCCTTTGTGTGTGTATATACGTATGTGTAGGACGGGACCGGAAAATTGCAAACTGCGCGAGAGCGTCACCGACCGTAGCGGGAGCGAGAGCTAGAGCGAGTGCGAGTGCAAGAGCGAGTGCGAGTGAGTCCAAGTGTGCCTCGTCCGAGCAACAATTGAGCGAAAACGAAGCGAATTTGCGGCCCGGCAGCGACTGCGAGCGTCGCACAGAATCATTCTTGAACGCGCGCGCGAACTAGTCGCAACAGCCCAAGTCCCAGCCAAGCTACAAAAACACAAACAACAACAGCAACAACAAAAGCCGCCTACAACAAGCTGGCAACAACTCTACAAATTGTGTACAACTTAAAGCTGCCCTTCGCAGGCAAAAAGTGCAAGTGAAAAGTTGAAAAAAATTGAAGCTTGGTCAAAATCACAAATTGTGCAAAAATTATTTGAAAAAGTCAAAATAACGATACAGACAGTCATAAAGTGTGTGAGCGTGTCGAATCGAATCGAATCGCGGAGGAATTGGCAGCTTCGTGTGAGCCAAGAGAAGGAACAATAAGAAGAAAATAACAATAAAAATTAAGAACGAGGCCTAGTAGCCCAAATTTCGTGGCGAAGCAGACGCGAAAGCAAACGCCAGCAAACGGGGCAGGCATAATTTTAAATAATTAAAAATAAACACACGCCGAAGACGTCGAAAGCTGCTTCACCAACTTGTGAGTGCGTGAGTGCGTGTGAGTGTGTTTGTGCGTGGCGTATCCGTAAGATACGCGCTGCTAACGCTGACGTACTTGCTGGCTTCGCACCGGCCGGCGTTTTGTGCCCAATTAACGCACTTTCGCATTCGCAATCCCATATTCAACAAATAGCCGAGCGAACAGCGAAAAGCGAGCAGCGAGCGCCAGTCGAGCCATCGGGCCGTGTATCTTTGGCATTCAAATTCAAATCCGACGTCAGCCTGCGCCGCCACCACCTAAACAAAAAACCAACAACAAATGTTTGAGGTGCATCAAAAATAAATATATAGTATACACACAAAAACATACATATAGTATATTCAAAATAATTAATTGCAATCTTATCTGAAAGATACGTGCGCGTCTATGTGTGAGTGCGCGAGTGTGTAAGTGTAAGACAAGGCTGAAAGCGCATTCTGTTCTACATCAAATTTATTGCCTCGTCAAAACTGGCACAGATATATTCGAACACACATTGCCCATAGCTGACATTTTATAGCATTCAAACACTTTCGCTTACAAATTGTGTGTCTGTGCGCGCTTGTTTGCTCTCTTCTGTCGCCGTCGTGCAGAAGCAAGAGATACAGATGCAATTCCACCATCACCTACTAAACTGTTAATACTAATAAAAAGTGTCACAATCAATTGTCGAATTCCAACAACCAACAAGCAAAGTGCAATAAAAACTGCCAGCGAATTCCTCACCTCTTTATTCGTTCATGTGTTCGTATGCGAATCCAACGTCAAATTTAAATTCAACTCCGAAGGTTGCCTCGCAACAAATGCAAAAGGTGATTATATAAAGTGCTCGTACCCCGGCCATGTGCGAAATAAATGAGTTATGAAAGTGGAAGCCAAGGCGGTTCGAGCACGGCACAAAGATACAAAACTGAAGCGTAACTAAGTAGCTAAGTGGCTGAGTGGCTGAGAAGCGGGGTGGCGCACTCATTAGCAACTCAAATGTTTGCCAGCGCCAGCATCAGAGCCAGCACTTTGTGTGAGAATTAGAACTACTCGTACTTACATACGTACATACACTTGGTATATAGGTCAGCAGTTGGCAGTTGGCTGCTGGCTGTCCACAGAGCTAACCTACTCGCACTTGGTAGGCCAATTAGCAACGCCCTCCACGCATCCACAGCCATTTGCATATGCAACGCAAAACTTTAACGTGCCGCCGTCCTTGGTCCCACTGGGAAGTGGGAGGAAGAGGCCGAAGAAAAATGGAAAGTGTTGACGAGATCTTACAGATTGCATTCGTGTCGTGAGCAATGCAGAATAATTCATGATTTAGTCGTGCACCTGGACAATGATTCAATTTTAAAGTATTGTAGAACCTGTGGCTTACGCTCTAATTACAATCTAATTAATTGGAATGTTAGTTTAACATTAATAAATTGTGCTTTAAGAAGGCAATTGAATTTGCTAGATTGCGTGTAAAATCTTAATATCCTTATTGAAAATCGGAAGAAATACTGTCAGTTGTACCTTTTTTGGTCCACAAAACTTTTCGTTAATTGTGCCAATTAGCCAGCGATGGCCAACGGCTTGAACGTTTTTGCTTATACGAGTACATCTATGTATGTACTTACATAGGTACATACATATGTGTATACGTAGGTAACCTGCTATTCAATTAGGTGTTAGCAATTAAGGCTGAGGCTATGACTCATAATTCCACAATCGGCTCCACAGCTGCCCTTGTGGAGCGTCTGACAGTGAGCGATAAGAATCAAGCTCCCGTCGCCATGCATGAGCCATACATGAGCTTCACTTTATGGCAGAACCATTAAATGCGATGATTACTAAACGATGACTCTTTCCATTCCATTTTCATTTCGTAGGAGCCCATTGAGCTGAAGAAGCGTATCGAGGAGGTGCGTCTGCTGGAGTCCCGCCGTTCCGCACGTTTGGCTGATCAGGATCGTGTCACGGACTTTGCAGTTCTGGCCGACATGGGAGGCGAACGTCGCCGAGCCACAAACAGTATTGAGGTGCCATTGCCACAGACGCCGCAGCAAAAGTGAGTAGTTGTGCCTGTTTTAATTGTGTTTGCTTTTTATTTTTCAATTTCTGGGGCTTAGTGAGCGCGTAATTTGCATAGATATTTAGTAGTCAGCTGGCTAGCCGGCCTGCCAGACTGCCATCCAAACGACTGTATCAATAATTTATAAGCGGTTTCAAATTAGCGGAACAAGACGGCAAGTCACGGGCATTTAGTCGCACCGATAGCCCAGGCCCGGCGCTATGCTGTTGATATATGCACACACACACACACACACAGCCACACCCATAAGTACAGGCTTAGATAAGCCGGCTAGACAAAAAGCAAACGCTGCCCCGCTCCCTCCCGCCCTACTATTTGACATACATAAGCGTCAACATCAAGCGCCTGCAGATTGCAGTTACATAAAGCCCCTCGATGCCCTCCCCAAGTCGACGAACGCTGCTGCTTTTGCAAATGATTGCAAAATAATTCCAATTTTCAATTAATGCCTGCTTAGACGGCGCGACGACAACCCGAATGCCTAACAGCAGCAACAACAACCACAATGTCGGCGGGGAGATAACGAACGGCAATAGTCGGGCGCTATGTGCCCTCCAAGCAATCCACGTTTAGCAAAAAGTGGGCATTTGAAGTGTGAAAAGAAGGAAATCAATATGTATAGAAGTTAAAATATGTGAAGAATATACATACATGTGCGTAGACCCAGGTCTTTGAATTATTAGAAAAACAAATCTGATGAATCCTAACCACCGCTATAGATTTGATAGCAAATAGTTGGGTCTCTTTTATAGTATAGTCTATTTTATAGTCTATCTATAGCATACTAGTCTATAACATGCACACTAAACTTGTCTTATATGTAAGTAGATCGCAAACGCAAAACTTGCATAGTCTTTTACCCTATTGGATACTTGTATAGTATAATAAAAAGTCCAGAAATATTGGTCCCAGAAGGAGGGAGCTGAGCCTTTTGGAAAGTTCCCTTACGTTGTTTTAAGCTTCATCGCAAGGGCATTTCGAAGTCGTAATGGCCAACATGGATTTGTTCAGACATCTCGATGTTCGTACCGTGGTTGTTGTGGTTGTTGTTGTTGCGCATTTCATTTCAATTCCAATTGATAAGCTTGCCCGCCACATTTCAAACTATTAGTCAAGTGTGCAAAACCTACAACAACAAGTACAATAAGCATAATAATAATAATAGCAACAACAAGTACTCACATATGTACATACATACATATGTATGTATGTACATACTAGGTTTTTCACAAGTGCTGTCGTCCGTCCGTCCGTCCACCAATGCGGCCTGCGCAAAAATGCCGGCCACGTTCTCAATTGATAATAAAAATAATAACAATAATAATCAAAATAAAGAAAATAACAACAGCAAAAATAACAAGTATGTACGACAATATGGCGCGTCATGCGACCGGCTTCAGCAGCGATGTTTTTGTTGTTGGGTCAGTCTGGCCGAACGGATCGCTTGGGACCGGGCTGGACCCAGAGCCGGAGCCGGACCGGGTAATGGCAGTCAATTGCGTCGTAAATGCGCAGCACGAAGTGCGAAGTCAAAGTCGAAAAACAGCTGGAAAAACTAAAACAACAACGAAAAAATGTGCAGTGCGCAAAGTCAACAACAACAACAACAAAAATAACGACGACGACAACAAACGATGTCTGTAATAAAATTCAAATAAAATTCAATTGGGTTCAGAGCGAGCCCTGCACCACTTTAATTTAATTAATTACAATGCACAAAAACTGAAATGCGACACCCTGTTGTTTGTAGCAACATGCAAACACACATTCATATGCGTGTGTGTTTGTGTGTGCATAACTGAGCTTTGCCGCTTGACGTATTTATCTTAGAACTATGTTTGTATGTACATGACGTTGCCAGCATATTGTTGCTGTCACTGTTGTTGTTGCTGCTGCTGCTGTTGCTTTTATTTCATTCAATTCGAACTCGAATGCGGAAGTGTTTTTTGCGCATTCACACACGCACACATAAGTATAAGCAGGCGCGTGTTTCACTTCATCTTATTCCTCTTCTTCTTCTTCTTCATCATGACGAGTGTTGTTTTGATATACTTCTCACACACACACACAAAACACTCGCACACGCACTCTCTCGCTGTAATGATAACAGAGTACGGCAATCTCGCTCACCTGCCCATCCCTGGGGCCCCCGCCCCTGCCTGACCCAGCAGCGACACGCGCGCTCCTACGTAACGCGACGTAATAGGCGAGTCCCTTGTTCCAGACCCGTTTCGGCCATACCCACACAGATGTGCATACATACATAAGCATACGTAAATACATACAGGGTGCGCCATCTTTTATGTCGGTATGTAAACATTGAATATCTTTGAAAATAAACAACCGATTTTCAAGTATCAGATATTTTTATTTAATTTGGTTCTGTTCAATTTCTTGAATTGAGGTTTTCAACAGTGGTCTACTCAAGTCAATCGGTTCACTAATGACAAAGTTATTCAATATTTACATACCGACATAAAAGATGGCGCACCCTGTACATACATATGTATTTACGTATGTATGTGTGTACATACATATGTAACTAGCGCTAATCTGAAGTGTGCTTTTCTCGCTTACGTGCGCGCTTTTGTTATTATAAATTCTTTTTCAAATTTTTATTCCGCCGCGGTAGTAATTTACATACACATGTATGTATGTATGTATGTATATGTGTTCTATATGTAGGCAGCGCTGCTGACGTAGCGTCGCCGAGTGCGTGAGTTCGCCGCTGATAGTTTGGGTAAACAAAAATCTGTTTTTGTTATTGTGCTACATGTATGTATGTATTGATGTATGTATCTAGGTATGTAGGTACAATACTGTTCAAGTTGATGTTTTTCTCCTTTTCTATATTCATTTTTTATTGCTCGGCATGTAAACAAACTATCTATTAAATAATATTTATTTTTACAAAGCTCGGTCATGCGGTCTCTATGAGCGGCTCTCAGTGCACGTGCCAAGATCGTTTATCCATCCATTGTTTAACACCTCAACCTCGAAATCTTGTCAAGTGGCAATTCTGACAGCTGTCTGACAGCTGAGTCTTTGGATCTTATTGTTTTCCCGGTCCACACATATATGATCATACTATATGCATATGTATGTACATGCATATGTATGTCAAAGTAAACATTTTGATTATGCAAGATTGTGTAACTAACTTTAAGAGCTATTAGAAGAAGAAGTTCACGACCATTTGGTTAGCGAGGTCTAGAGGCCGAGATTATTTTGGCAGCATTTGAACATTGCAAGATTGGACTCCAGATAATTACTCTATTCGAAATGACTGAAACAATCATTTAATACATAGGATGACTGCTCCTTAGGTTCCAATCATTCAGAGTCGGTTTTAAGTTTATTACAACGTCTTTGTATAACAAATTTGTACGGGATTTATGAAGGACTCTGCTTTTAGACTGTATAACAAGAGTCCCAACTCGCAAAGCTAGCTAGATTAGAATAATCTTTTTATTTCACAGATCACTGATAATTTGGAGTAGAAATTCCGCTCGAAAGTATTGTTTGAAAAAGTTTTCAAAAGATTATCAAACCTCTGACAAATGTGTTTCCCCTTGAACAATTGTGTTTCCCCAAACCATTCGTCTACTGAGGTAATGTGAATTACCTTAGCACTTGCCAGCTCACTTTTAATTAAAAGTTATTTAGAGAACAATTTGTAATTAGAAGAAAAGTACAAAAACCGGTTTACCGGCTATTTTCAAATATTGCAATAGTAGAAACCATATGTACTACTTGTAGGAATCGATTGGTTCCTGTAGATACCAAAGCGAAGGCTTAGTCTTGTGATACCCCTGGTGTTTGGGATCGCAGTCGTTATTCGGAATATAGAAATGATGTGCTTTTTCACTTTTGAAGCACTTGTCAGAGATGTATCACTAAACAAGAAGCTAATTTTCCCCCTCGTACTCCCCTCCTAAGCGGAAGGCCCTCTCCTCTCAAAGTGTTTGCCTAAATGGCAGCCTTTAAAAAGAAAGCAATATAATCAAAACATAATTGCAGGCAAATAAACACATGTATCTTTATAGGCATGGCAATATACATATGTATGTATGTATGTGTAGTATGTATGCATGTCTATTTGTGTGCCCTGATCACAATGCGTTGCCATACGAAGAACAAAGAACAAGAACGCAACGATAAATACAAAAAAAAAATTATGAACACTACTCCGTCGAACAAGAAGAATTAAATGCGGAAAAAACGGGTAATAAATATAATAAGCGCGTAATTATCGCGTAAATGTCAATTTACGCGGCGAGCGTGTTGCGTCAACGGCAATTTGCAACGCTAGACTGAGTCAGACGGCAGTACGGCAGTACGACTACCCCTACACCTGCACCTGCCCCTGCCCGTGCCCCTGCCACAGTCCTAACCCCAACCCGACCTCGGGAAAACGCCTGATGCAAGCGTGTAACCTCGAGGAGTGCAGCAGCGAGGGCGGTCGGGCGATGGACAGACTTGTTAGACCGACCCAACGAGTAACCATTTGGATAGGCTGTTGCTTATTGTTTTTGTAATTGCCATGATAAACAACAACAAAAACAATCAAAGCCGGCTGCTGCAGCAAGAAAAACAAGCAAATGCAGCAACAACAGCAACAGGCGGCTGGGGGAGAGGGAGCGACACAAATTGCATCAAGCGTTGAAAACTAATAAAAACTATTTACAAACGAGTTTACCGTTACAAAAAGGCAAAAACAGAATAACAGCAATAGCCGCAACAACAACAATAACAAAGTAAGAGTGATTGTGAAAAATGCATAAGCAACATGGAGTGACGTCAAGAAAATAACAATAATAATAATAACAGCCCACAAGCTGCACGACTTGAATCACAACTGAAACAAACATTAACAACAACAACAAAAACAACAAATGGCGACAAAGGCAATTAGTCGGGTCTTAAAAATATATATGTATGTACATACATACATATGTATGTATTTGCCTGCTGCT